ATCAGGAGACACCTATCTGGTTATCTTGCTCTTTCTGATATTAGCAGTAATTCTATGCCTAGATCCACTACTTCAGGAGTTCCCAACCTCCCAGCCAGCCACAGGTACCTCCTGTCAGATCAGCAGCAGCATTAGATTAGAAATACAGTGCATAATATATGTAATGCACTTGAATCATCCCCAAACCTTCCCACCCCATCCCTGGTCTATGGAAAATTGTCTACATGAAATCGGCCCCTGGTGACAAAAAGCCTGAGGACCCCTGCTTTCATTTTGGGTTACTAGACAGTGCTATTCTAATTCTGTCCGTTATTTTTTATTTATTTGCTAAAATACCAAAATGAAAATCTTACTCTTCTGTTTCATTATCCAGTAGTTCTTTGTTTATAAGTTTTCAAGATAATGAGTTGGTTCCCTAGTGTCTTTCAATTGCTGATAAATTTTTAATTATCATTATAAGCTCCTGGATTTAAACTTATTTGATGTATTTCAGTCTTTTCAAGTTTTTTTTCCTCTCATTGATCTTCATATTGTCTCATCTTTGACAGTCTCTGCAAGTTGGTTCCCAAATCTTTGACATAAACTTGGTAATCTTTGATAGCTTCCTTATTATTTGATGTGACAAGAACATTCAACATGATCTGTACGTTTCCTGTCCTGGTCCTGGAATTAGCTGTTTCTCCAAGGAGCTCTGGCTCCTTTCAGAAAGAAAGTAGATTTCAGCACTAAATTCTAGGTGCTGGAGGTACTCATTGTTAATGGGTGCATCAGTATTTATGGGAATTTTCAGTTGAAAAATTTAGAAAATAGTTTCTTTCAAGTAAAAAATATCATTGATTTATATTGATACTTCAGATTCAGGACTAAAAGGTCTTTACTTAATCTCTTCTTTCTGACATCTGTTTTTCCTTTCTCCCTTGCCAAGAATCTTGCTTGTGAAGGACACTGAATTATAGAATTGGAAGATCACAGAATTATACTTTATACACATAACATTTTTGAATTGCAGTACAATCACTACTACCTACAATATGACTGAAAAACATATATACATGTGTGCTCAGTTGTGTCCAACTCTTTGTGACCCAAAGGACTGCAGCCCTCCAGGCTCCTCTGTCCATGGAATTTTCCAGGCAAGAATTCTGGAGTGGGTTGCCGTTTCCTCCTCCAGGGGATCTTCCCCACCCAGGGATTGAACCAGCGTCTCCTATGTCTTGTACATCTCTTACATTGGCAGGCGATTTCTTTACCTCTGACTCACCTAAAAAAACTGTTTAAATTTTTCCAGCAATTTTTGTCCTAATTTAGAGCATATACTGTTAGGGATGTACAGCACAAAACTTTTTTTAAAGTTATTTTGATTAGTTTCTATGTTATTATGCCAGCAACTAGTTACCCATTTAAATTCATTTATATCGTTTTAACTTCAATGTTTAGAGATTTAACTTTTTTTGTCCAACTCTTTGTGACCCCATGGACTGTAGCCCGCCAGACTCCTCTGTTCACGAGGGTTCTCCAAGCAAAAATACTGGAGTGGATTGCCATGCCCTCCTCCAGGGGATCGTCCCAACCCAGGGATCAAACCAAGGTCTCCCTCATTGCAGGTGGATTCTTTACCATCTGAGCCACCAGGGAAGCCCATAAAATGCTTGCATGGTTTCAAAGTCAAGTCTATAAAACAAAATATGTTTAAAGCAGTCTATGTTCTATCCCTGTTCCTTCTTACCATTTACTCTATACCCCTGGGGAAGATGTCAGCATTAGAATTGGTACATTGTGTAGTAGAGCTTCCCTTGCAGCTCAGTTGGTAAAGAATCTTCCTGCAATGCAGGAGACCTGGATTCAATTCATGGATCAGGAAGATCCCCTGTAGAAGGAAATTGCAAACCACTCCAGTATTCTTGCCCAGAGAATCCCATGGACAGAGGAGCCTGGGAGGCTATAGTCCATGGGGTCACAAGAGTTGGACATGACTTAGCAACTAAACCACCACCACCTTTAAGATCATTAATTACTGAGACCTGTTCAAGAGCAAGCATTATGTACTTTCTTTTTTATAATTGTTTATTCATAATGCTACAATTAACTATATGCTAATGCTCACCACCAGTTCTTATATGTATATATTGCCAGTCATTTTAGTTGTCTGAAGATTATTCTCTAGTAGATACCTCAGGACTAACTTATGGGATATTGAAAAGAGTTTGACTTTACACTTGGAAAACAATTTATCTGAATATAAAATACTTGGCTCAGATTTTCATTTTTGGTTTACCCCAGAAGGCATAAAATTTTGCTATTGGATTCTTAACAATTTGCTTTTCTTTCATTTTTACATGATTCAGACTTTTAATCCAGATGTCAAAAGAATTTACTCACTTTCTTGAATGACCTATAATTTTGTTAGATTTTCTCAGTGTTCTCAGTCTATTTTCCCAGGCACATAATGTGTCCTTTCAACGTGTACATTCAGAGCATATTTATATATATAGGTATATCCTAAATTTTAGGAAAGTTTGTCAGTTTTTAAATATCTAATTTTATTGTTTTGGTTTTCTTCTTTGGGAATTTTTTAAAATACATATTTTGTTTCTTTACCTACCTTCCATAAGGCTAGATGTAGCAGAAATTTTCAGAGGGCTGATATCTTAACTACACCTATAAAAGCCCAACTTTGAAGGAGAAGTATAATTTTAGGGTCCATAGTCCAAGAATAAACAGAGAAGGCAATGGCACCCCACTCCAGTACTCTTGCCTGGAAAATACCATGGACGGAGGAACCTGGTGGGCTGCAGTCCATGGGGTCGCTAAGAGTCAAACACGACTGGTGACTTCACTTTCACTTTTCACGCATTGGAGAAGGAAATGGCAACCCACTCCAGTGTTCTTGCCTGGAGAATCCCAGGGACGGGGGAGACTGGTGGGCTGCTGTCTATGGGGTCGCATAGAGTCTGACACGACTGAAGCAACTTAGCAGCAGCAGCAGTCCAAGAATAAAAGTGATTAACAACTGGGTGAGTTGAATGCCTGTTCTCTATGATTCAGACGATCAATAGGCTTCCTGGTTCCTACTAATATTATGCTCTCTTATTTTATTAAAAGGCCAAAATAAGAAATTTTATGAAATTTACTACTGAATTTAAGATTATGCAGCTTCCAAAGTAAAGTTTACAAGACAGTCCCAGAGGGAACTGTTTATGCTTTATTACTAGGCATAGCTTCATTTTCCCTAAGAGCTATGTTTCATTTTTTTTTTTATAAGAATCATCATAGCTAGGGTTTCTATTTTCTCCTGGCTCCTAAGAATCTGGGCCAAATTGTGCTCAGTCTTGCAATGATAAACATCACTCAGAGATCCTTATTGCATGCATATATTCTTTAACTTGATCCCAACTTTTACTTTAAAAATTTTAAACTTTCATGTCAAAGTACAAGCTTGCAGAGAAATTGTATACAAAATTTAGCTTGAATACTCATTTTTTCTTGGAAAGTCAGAACACTTCATCAGATGCTGATTCTAAAAGAGTATATGTGATATTAAAACTATTGTTCTTGAATTAATTATTTTATTTTATTTATAAAACCAAAGCTTCGATTCCAATTTAGTTTTAAAATCTCAGTGACTATCAAAATGAATGGTTTACTTTGGGGATCATTCTAAGCTTTTTAAAATCTTGACAAAATATAATTAATAATGAACTGATGAATTTACAGTGCAGATGCCAATCACTGAAATCAAGTCATGCCATTTACAAGTCTAGATCATATAATACAGGGGAAGGAAAAAAGCTAAACCTTTTCCTAAAAATTCCTCCACTGGATTCACTAACTTTTACAAGAAGGTTGGCATAATATATGATCATTCTAAATAGCTTCCTCTTTAAAGTAGGTCAAGACACAAACCACTTCAGTAAAGTCACTTATTATTTCTACAAGCTACTTTCACTTTACGTTTCTTTTCCTCCTATCTTTACATTCTGTTTTCTTAAATTTACATGGGTAAATATCTTGCAGTCTTGGTGTACGTTTATCAAGTTGGTCATAGTCATATTACCAAACATCAGATGCCTCTGAAGAAATGGTTCCATCTACTTAGTCAAGAATTAAGGTCTACAAATAGTTCCCTTACTTGAAAAGTAAAGACAAAAGATATTGTAAGATAAAGTATGGTATAGAATTAAAACAAATACTAAAATTTCATTAATATGATATTTATCTATTCCAGTAGAGTAAAAAGTTAGAACCAGGCAGGCATGCACTACTTGTTAAGTCAAAGTTGACCAAACTTGGGAAGAAAAAATTAAACTTATGTTTGGAAATCTAACATGTTTCAATTAAATGTACAATTGAATGGAATCATTTATCTAGAATGCATACATTTTGTATGTTGTTAATACCAATGATTTGTTTTTAAATATTTGTATCAATTCTTTAAGTCTTTTCTAGAATACAGTAAGTTTGTAATTCTATGAATAGATTGACATTTAAACAAAATAATTTGGTTCACTTGAAAAATAAAATTAACTTCTGATTTTGAACCTGTTGGAAATTGTTGAAATTTACATTTTCCTTTCAACAGTCTAAGAATTAAGCTCTGAATAGTTTCATCCTATTTTTCTTTTCTTAGTGTAATTAAACACTTTAAAATTTAGAGAGTTTAGATTTGACTTGACATTTCAAACTGTTTAGAAAGTGGCTGATGACTAAATATTGAATAATGGTACTATACATAATTTTCCATGATATGAATAAAAACATCTAGGTGAAATTTTGCAAATCATTTGCACTTTAAGGTAATGATTACATATTTTTGGTCTGTTGAGTTTTTCAACCAACCAGAATTAGTACTTAACTTGCAATTTGATGGACTGAGGTGAGGAAAAAAATATTTGAGGTTGGAATTTGCTCATATGAATGGTTTTATAAGTTGTGGAATCAGCTTAAATGCCTAAAGTGGATTCTGACATTGACACTTTTCTCCCTTCTGATTCAATTCACAGAGCCAGTGACACTTAAGTGGCCAAGTAGTTTACAAGCAGTCATTAAGGTAAGCAAACCCTCATCCAGAGCTTATGGTCAGACATGTGATTTTAATTATGGGAGAGGTATAAACATTGATGTTCTGGTTACATAGAGGCTAGGATGCCTTTTCTAAGCTCTCTAGAGCTTATAGCTTGCTAGTTTACACATACATACTCACAAGGGGTCTGGAATAAAGACTAGTTTCTGTATTCTTGTTTCTGTGTTTTTGTATTCTACTGATAACCTTCTGTAGGAATAAATGTAACCCTAGATTTAAAAAGCAAAAAATATAGAAAAAAAATGATAGCTTTCAGATCATGTTTTCTCAAGCCCACCCTCAAACCCCTATCCCTTGGTCTCACTGGGGTCATATTGCTGAGTTATTTATCCATAAACCACACAATATCATTTCTCTACATTTCTTACTTCCTTAATGGCACTCTAATCCCTGCTGAAAACAAAAGACCAAAACAACATTAAAGACCATATCACAAAGATTTTAACTTCCCTTCCCTACCACCTTCCATCAAGTGAATTCCTTAGAAGTCATATTATGACTAATAATGCTAGTTTTCAGTAGAATCATTCCACTGATTTTACAAAAATCTGAATCATAAAAGTAGAAGATTGACTATTATCTACATGTTCTTATTTCTTCTGAATTTTATGCTGTGGTCCTAAAAACCAAATATTAATTTTTAGTAATGTCACACTACACATGAAGCACATCAGAGAAAATTTACATAAATAAACAACTCATTTTACAGTAGCCTCACCCAGCTTATTATTGGTGTTATCTTTCAATAAATTTTCCCTCAACTTCTGTAACTGCAACTTAAATTTATGTGCTTACTAAATAGAGTTTTAGTGACTTTTTTCTCTATTTTCTACTCTTCCATATTTTCTTTGTATAGTCCCACTATGCAAAGATAAGTCAGTAAAAGGTTTTGAAAGTTTTTGTGATATTGATCACATCCTTGAACTGAGGAAATAGCCAGGAAATATGCTCCATGCTCCACTGCTTCTGAGTAACCACATGCACAACCCACTGTCACTTAAGGAAGACTCAGGATCTTGGCAACAATAGGTCACATGTGGCTACAAGCACTGTTTTAAAGATCAGACCAGCTATGAGTTACCATGGGCAAGCTATTTAAAGTTTGTTCTACAAATTATACCTGTGGTATAGGATTGTGTAAAAGATATCAGTGGGAAACAACTAAATTCCTGTTACAATAGCTAAAGTCAATCAAACAAGCAAGCATACACTTGTGAATATAATACATGTTTATTCTCATCTTGGTATCTGTTCCTTGGAGGACTTTTATGGTTATAGTACACTTGAAAGGGGAAATTTTACTGAATGTAAATTATAGCTCCAAAAAAAAAGTGTAATGTATGGCATATAGAAGCAGCTCCATAAATGCTAATTTTTGGTAGTTCTCATTAGTCAGCACTCAAAAATCAGAAGTATTACTCCTATGCAAAAATGACAATTTGTTGTTTAGTCAGTGTCCGACTCTTGCCACCCCATGGTCTGTAGCCTGCTAGGCTCCTCTGTCCATGGGATTTCTCAGGCAAAAAGAGGGGAGTGGGTTGTCATTTCCTTCTCCAGAGGATTTTCCTGACCCAAGAAGTGAACCCATGTCTCCTGCTTTGCAGGTGGATTCTTCATTGCCGAGCCACCAGGGAAGCCCAGAGTGACAATAAACATGACCAAATGGAAATGAACATGATTTAACTTTAATGGCTTTAGTCAAGTAGTTGCTTAAGAATTTTAGTACTATAAATGAATTAATTTTAAGCACTCTTTGGCCAAAATAGGGAACTAAGTTAAGGATTTCCAATTAGGACTCAGTACATTGGTGAATCTAGTGAAATTAATGGTTTAAGATAAATTATTTAAATAAATAAGCTTGTTTAGGAAACCGTTCAGATATCCAGTCTCAGATTTGCCCATTTTCAAATTTAAGAAGTAGTGCATTTGTGTTGTAATATGTAAGTCAACACAATGCAATCCAGAAATTGGCAGATCTAATAATTACACACTCCAGCACCTCACATCCTATTAATCTAGCCCAACCCAAGATCAGACCCTAGAGGTCTTATTGTATATCATTTTTTTTGCTCATACGAGCATACATGGCCATAGATATATCCACATAGAAGTGTGGTTTATTCCCTTTATCCTGAAATAGGATCATAAGATACTCATTGCAAGATACTTTTTCTACTTAGTGTACCATGAACGATAAATCATTGATAGAAAATCACCTTATTATTCCACTTTCTGTAAACATGCATATGCACATATAATTTCATACAAAATGAAATTTCATATTACAGTCTCTTCCCAGCATTTATTTTCTGCTTACCTCACTTTCCCATCCCACTCATCTCTCTCATTTAATGCCCCATGTTATGTATTGTTTTTTAATTTCACATACACACACATAGACACACACACACATACACACATACACTACACATTGCTTTATAAAAATGGAATATTAAATGTTCTTCCTCACAGACCATTTTCCTCATATAACACTTTTTAGAATACCCTCATGTCCCAAGTCACTTTTACATAGCTTAATTGTTCTTTAATAATAGTTTCTAATATTGCATAATATTTCACAAATGGACTGTTTTCCTTTTGATCAGCATTAATCTTGCTTGCACTTTATTTTTTGACACTTTAAACAATTTTGCAATAATTTTACTCCCTGGCCTCACTATACTTTAAGAGCACCTTTCTTTAAAGGTTTATTGCAAGGGAAATGCAAGAAAAAAATTTATCAACACCAAGATTATTTGTTTTTCAGTCAATAAAGATGACAAAATCCTCCATTAAGTCATTGCAGTGGAGGGGTTGGGCTATAGCAGGGTATGGAGTTTTAGTGCTAAGGCTTTACTTGCTGCAAAAGTGTTAGAAAGTTGGACTCACCAAATTCTTACAGCCTATATGAAAGGGTGATGCATCCCCACTAATCTCACATAGCTTGATCACCACTAATTTCACCACTGAAAACATTTCTAATCAACAAATACAATGGTGGGGATTTAGACCTTGCAGTTTAAAATACTTTAAAAATTTGCTTCTAGAGCATGGAAACCAGACATTGTCCTAACTGAAATATTTTAAAGTAAACGAAGTTATGTAGCAGGTGTAAGGCAGCAGCTTGGCTCTGTTGCTTTTCCAAATAGCAAATGACAACAAAAGGGAAAACACATTTCTGTGTTTTACCAAATGTGCTTGAGTGATTTAAAGGCATCACTGATGGGACCTCCATTAGCCAAAGCTGCAAGAGGAGATGAGAAAGTCATAATGTTTGATGTTATTATTCCAAGTCTTCCTAATGGTCAGAGCAGTTGTTCATTTAGCAATCTAAGTACCCAAGGCTGCAGAATAAGTGATAACAAATAGGTTGAGACAAACTATTTTTCCACAGCCCATGTCACATTCTTATTTCTTCAAGGGAGGTTCTGAAAACATAGTAACAAAGTTGGAAATAGTTACTATTTTTCAAAGTATGGAAAAGTGTTCAAAATGCACATGGATATAATCATGGAATTTAAATCATAAGCCTAATATGATCAGCATTTTCAGGTATGCAGGGATGCTTTCCGAAAGATAATGGAATCACTTTGAGTAACAGCTATTTGATTGCCTTGTTTCGACACAAGGATGAGAGTGTGTTATGGTCTGTGCAGTTTGATAAATGACCTTCCCATCATTCTCATTTTGTGGGTTTAGGCCAGACACCCATATTGTGACTTGGTTGGTGTGGAGGCTGGTATTCTACTGTATTTTTAGAATATTTAGTCTATTTAGAAAGTTTACATAATTTTGGTTACAGTGACTAAAGTGACTAGGACTAAAAATAAGATTGGCTTTTATGAAAACAAACTTTTCTAGCATTAAAAGATGGCATGTGTACCAGTGTTCAAAGTCCTTATGATTCTGGGTTTGGTGCTTCAGATTTCAAATAAGCGTGCTCATCGATGAAGGAAAATATATTGTCTATATTATTTGTATGAACAAATGTTCCTGAAGGCTAAAATTAAGCATGTCTATTTTATTATGCCTCTTGGTCTAGAGTAGAGATGGCAAATAAGTGTTATTTATTTTGCCAACTTCGAAGAATTGATAGTGGCTGTCTGAAGCACTATGTGGAGGACAGTTGGAATAGAAAATTATTGTTTTGCTGGAAAAGATGCTAAATGTTGGTGATAACACCAAGGATTCAGTGTGAGGGGAAAGGCAGGATATGGTAACATATTTAATATTTCCAGACTAATGCAAAGTGAGAGGGATATGGTTAAATCCTCCATTTCTAATTGATATTTCCTAGGCAGTTTCTACCATAATTCCTACTGGTTGAGAAAGTCCCCATCGGCTAGTTTTAAAAATAAATTCTACCATTTATAATGTTTAAACATATAAAATGCATGTACACAGCTATTACATGTATATACATATGTGTATATGTATGTGTGTTTATAGTACTTCTTAAGCATGATAAAGAATTTTAATATCTTTCAAGAACTGAGCTTGAAGATTTAGTTGAGATGAAACCAATTTTTGCTTGCTAGTTATAATATTTAATATGCTAAGAATATTTTTAAGATGATATTTTCATGAGAACTGAAGTCACTGGAAAGATTAAAGAAATGTACATAGATGAGCAAGAGGGGCATGAGTGCTCTACATCTCCTGGCTAAACATACGTATATCTAGGTGGTACACATTTTTAGACAACTTTTATTTTATTATAAAAGATTTATTAAAGATTTCTATTTATGTTATAAAAGATACTTGCTTATGTCTTTTGTTTCAAAAAAAGAAGTTTTAGTGTTTTCATACTGATCTATAGGGTTTCTACATATTCTGGATACTACTGTATTGTAGCTGTGTGAATTTAATATATTTTTCTAGTCTGTGAATTACTTTTTTATTTTGTTTGTGGCAACTTTTGAGAACAATAAGTTCTTAATGTTAATGCAATCAAATGTATTAATCTT